CGTTCCCCGCTGCACTGGGACAGGTCGGGGGCCACAGGCGGGCGCCGAGGGGGCTTCTCCCTGCGTCCCCCAGGAAGAGGGGGCATGAGGGGGCTCCCGTGCAAGCGCCCGGGGCCGAGTGGAGCGCGCTGCCGCCGGGGGAGGGTGCGGGGGGACATCGCGTGCGTGGGCGGTGGCGCCCTGTCGCCACTCGGCGGGGGGAAGGCGGGGACCAGGACGCGGGCGGAACCTTCTCCTTGGCTGCCACGTCCCGCCGGCCCCTCAGCTCGGGGACACCCGAGTGGCGCGTCGCTGTTCGACCATAGAGTTGGGGCGCTGCGGGTTAGAGCGGGACGCTGGACTTCCGGTTCCGGCGCGCGGGGCAGGGCGGGAAGCGTGAGGGACCATTAGGGTGCTGCTGCGGGCCGCACGCTGTGAGCTTCTCGCTGCCGGTGGGTGGTGGCCGGGGCCGGGGCCGGGGCCGGGGCCTAGCTGTGGTCTGCGTCTTGTAGGGGTGGCGTATTAGTTTTCCCGGAGCGCGTCGAGGCGCGTTCTGGCGTGGCTTGACCCCGGGCGGAGGCCACGGGAGGCGCTGACTACCCCCTCCTCCTCCCCCCCGCCTTGTCTTGTTCTCCCCTCTCGCAGGGTAGGGCCGTGCTGTCGCTGCAGGAATGTCGATCGGGGTGCCCATCAAGGTGCTGCATGAGGCCGAGGGCCACATCGTGACGTGCGAGACCAATACGGGGGAGGTGTATCGGGGCAAGCTCATCGAGGCCGAGGACAACATGAACTGCCAGGTAGGCTGGCCCGGGGGTGGCCCCTAGTCTGAGGCAAAATGGGGTGAGGCCCCTACTCTGCCTCAGGCGCTTGCCTGAGATGGGCTCAGGGTTGGTAAAACACTGTGGTGCTGAAGCAGAAAGCAGGGAGCTGCACATCTCGGGCTGCCTCTGAGGCCACTTCTGTTTCTACCATATATAGCCACTTATTCTTTTACCAGGTCTGAGTACAGTGATGCTGGTGATCACAGCTTCTCATATCATCAGCCAGCTTCAGTTCCTCCTTCCTTCCCCAGAAGAGATTCCCGCCCCCCCCCCCCCCC